TTTAATTCATTACTTTTTGATTATACATGTTCCTATACCTAAAATAAATAGTTTTTAAGTTATTTAAGATTTAATTTTAAAGCGTATTTTTTTCTTGATTTTATTTAATATAATTATTGGCATTATGTGTCAAACCATCAGACAATTTATTTCCATTTGTCAAAAAACTAATTAATTGAATTTTGTATATTATAAATACTGCTAAAACTTTATAAAGCGTATTTATAAAAATATATCTCGTATTTTAGTGATAGTGGAAATATGACAAGGCCAGATATAGTTCTTACATGGCGTGACGTTTAAAGTCATAAACTACTGGTTAAAAAACAAAAAATATACCCTTTAGAACTAAATCTTAAATAACTTAAAAACGATTTATTTTAGGGATAGGAACATGTACAATCAAAAAGTAACGAATTAAAAAACCTTTTCACTGATGAAATAAAAAAGTGGGTTTCCATTTGAAAAGAATGATTTATAATAATTTTTTAATCGCTCAATTCCATGACAGCTACGACCAATATTGTGTAACATTCGAACAATTTAAATTTTGAAATAGATCGCAACATGTCTTCACTTTATGCCACAGTGGCTGTGGTAATCACTAAATTTGTCGTTTAGGCTATAACGATTTTTTTGACAGGCAGTTTTTTTCCTCCAAAAATTTTAAATATTTTTTTTTTTCGTAAGAACAGTTAATATTAGGTATAGAGTGTTTGATATCAAAATTCATAAAATTTTGCGCAGAATTTAAGTATGTAATAAAAATAGGGGTACCCATTTAAAATAAGAAAGTTGCTGTCAACTTCTGGTAATTCCGGAAGTGCCGCCATATTGAAAATATTTTTAATTGATAGATCTCGTTGTGAAACAATAATGTGCAAAAAATCTCCGATTTAGATATTGTAGTTCTCTAGAAACTTCTAATGCACGCTCAGCCTGGGACACCCTGTATATGTATTTATAAAGCTTACTATCTGTTTCGCATTTTCAGTTTTTGATCAGACATTTGATTTTATTTGTGAAATGCCCACAAAAAAGCTTCCAATAACATCAGTGTGTTTGCTGCATAATGGATCATTCCTGCTGATAGCCGGAGAGCTGGCGACATATTTAGAGAACATATTTTAGGCAAGTTAGAATAACAAAAAACATAAAGTTTAATAACTTGTGAACCCAGAATCTTAAGTCTGGCTGGGGGGTTGGGGGTATTTCGCTACTGCGCAACCCATAACATTTACAAAATAATAAATCCAAAAAACATTCTTTAGGCAACTTGAAATTTGTTTATTCTTAAATTTTAGCATCTATTTAACCTAGAAATAAGTATGCCAGACTTTTTTTTCGGGGTTAAAGTGTAACCCGACCATTCCAAATATGTTTAATTGTTATACCTGGAAAACATAGTTTAGGCATTCTAAAATTTTTACAGCGTGTTTATTAGATATTAAAAAATATGTGTTAATTGCCAGACGAATTCAATGGGATTTAATACTTGCCAGACGCGAATGAAGATTTTAAATAACTTGCGACAAAAAAGTCTTAGGAGTATCTATAAGCGCGAGAAAGATAGTTTATTCAGACCCGTCGGCAGCCGATGCGGCTGACGTAACAGTATTTTGGAGTACTTCAAATTTTCATAAAAACATTTTTTTTTCGGTTTCATTTCAATTATTTGCAGGCTTTTAATTCAGAGAATATTTTGTTGGAATTAAGTTACCATGTACAAATATGTATTTATAAATTAAATATTGACGTGCATAGTGTAAATAGTTTAGAATAATTACTGCAAATAAATATTTTAGTAACTACTAATTTCGCTACTAACTACTAAATCACAATGGATAAAAAACATTTAAGTTGTGTAGTTTGTAAAAAAATTACTAGTGACAAAGTTATTGTTTTTGATGAAGGCAGACTACAAAAATGCAAAGAATTTTTAAAAGTGCGCCAACAACATGGTTTAAAATTTAAAGAAGTGGTTTTACCAGAAAACGTAGTCCCGACAAAAGGATACCATGTACAGTGCTAAAAAAATAAGTATTCTGGAATTTTATTAAAGTACCATTGTTAATCTTTCTAAATAGATGCAAAAGTAAGTAAAAGTGCTTTACTTTTATGCTTAGGCGTTAAAATGACTTTTATATTGTCAATCAGGTCGCAAAAATTAATAATAATGTAATATGTCACAAAAGTATAATAATAATTATACTTTTGTGACGTTTGAAAAAAATATATTTTATATTATGCTAATTTTTAAATAATTATTCGTCTTTTTATTCTTTCAGACACTAAATACTTAAATTAAAAAGTCTTCTTATTAAAAGGATTTCAATCATACATTTTTATTAAAAAATGTTTCTTTTTATTTATTCAATATTAGTTAGTTTTTTTTAAGTTTTTACGGCTCCAAAATGCATCGGCTGCCGACGGGTCTCAATAAACTATCTTTCTCGCGCTTATAGATACTCATAAGACTTTCTTATCGCGTTCATTTAAAATCTTTATTCGCGTCTGGCAAGTATTAAATCCCATTGAATTCGTCTGGCAATTAACACATATTTTTTAATATCATCTAATAAACACGCTGTAAAAATTTTAGAATGCCTAAACTATGTTTTCCAGGTATAATAATTAAACATATTTGGAATAGTCGGGTTACACTTTAAACCCGAAAAAAAAGTCTGGCATACTTATTTCTATGTTAAATAGATGCTAAAATTTAAGAATAAACAAATTTCACGTTGCCTAAAGAATGTTTTTTGGATTTATTTTTTTGCAAATGTTATGGGTTGCGCAGTAGCGAAATACCCCCAACCCCCCAGCCAGACTTAGGATTCTGAGTTCACCAGTTAATAAGCTATACATTTTTAATTATTCTAGCTTGCCTAAAATATGTTCTCTAAATATGTCGTCAGCTCTTAGGCTATGCATTTTTAGACCATTTGAAGACTACACGAGAAAAACCAGATTGTTACATTTTCATAGAAATTGATAGCGACAAAACTTTATAGTGTTAGCATTATTCGAGGCACCATCAAAGAAGGCAATAATACGCTTAGTCCCAGAGATATTACAGCTTAGTTATTTTGCTCTACAAGAGAAAAACCAGAGTAGTCCACTTGTAATTGCATTTTCTCGGCTCCAGTTAAAATGAACAAAGCTGGCTTTTCCTGTGGTCTTTGATCTTAATAACGTAAATAAATGTTTATACATATGTATGTGATGATTAAATTGGTGTTAAGGAAATAAAAATTGGTTTTCAATATTAATATATACCTAGATATATTTACATATTTTGAAATAAATTACACTTTTAACAGTTAGGGGAGTTTTTAAAGCCAGTTATAATATTTATATTTTAAAAACTTGAGGTCACGTGGATGTAATCACGCATTAAACCACAGACTAACTTATATAACTTAGTCAAAGAGGAGCTTTTAGTGTTAACTTATATATTACTTGTAAGTAATATAATAAATAAAACAAAAAATATGAAATAACCAACAATTCAGCTCAGTCACGTTGGAACCCGCTTTCAAGTAAAGTTTTCGATTTTTGGCTTATTATTAACTACAAACGATGCAATTGATTGTAGTAAATTCAATTTTTTTGTAGTACTAATAATTAGCCAGAAAAAGTTAGCAATTGTGCGCAATGTAATAAAGAGAAAAAATATTGTTTTAACAATGGTCTAAAAACCTTCAAAATCGTTTGTAGTTTTATGTAGTAGCAAAAAAATTCAATAAAAGATCCTTGGAATTAGTGAATTATAGTAAAATATGAAAATTAACATAGTTTGACATAATGTCTTTAGTTGTACCCAAACTACAAACGATGCAATTAATTGTAGTAAATTCAATTTTTTGTAGTACTAATAATTAGCCAGAAAAAGTAAACAATTGTGCGCAATGTAATAAAGAGAAAAAATATTGTTTTAACAAAGGTCTAAAAACCTTCAAAATCGTTTGTAGTTTTATGTAGTAGCAAAAAAATCAATAAAAGATCCTTGGAATTAGTGAATTATAGTAAAATATGAAAATTAACATAGTTTGGCATGTCTTTAGTTGTACCCAAACTACAAACGATGCAATTGATTGCAGTAAATTCAATTTTTTTGTAGTACTAATAATTAGCAATAAAAAGTAAACAATTGTGCGCAATGTAATAAAGAGAAAAAATATTGTTTTAACAAAGGTCTAAAAACCTTCAAATCGTTTGTAGTTTGGGTACAACTAAAGACATTATGTCAAACTATGTTAATTTTCAAATTTTACTATAATTCACTAATTCCAAGAATCTTTTGTTGAATTTTTTTGCTGCTATATAAAACTACAAACGATTTTGAAAGTTTTTAGACATTTGTTAAAACAATATTTTTTCTCTTTATTACATTGCGCACAATTGTTTACTTTTTCTGGCTAATTATTATTACTACAAAAAAATTGAATTTACTACAATCAATTGCATCGGTTGTAGTTAGTAATAAGCCAAAAATCGAAAACTTTACTTGAAAGCAGGTTCCAACGTGACTGAGCTCAACAATTCTAATGTATTAAAATACAGTACAATAGTAGGTATCTGATATCCTCACTTAACATAGTACTATCCATACTATAACATAATATTCTACCCAACTCAATATTACGTCCAACATGAGTTTCAAATATATCGGGCCCTAATCGTTCCTGAAAATAGTATTTTTTTACATTGTTATACCATATTCTAAACTATTTAATATTTCAGTCACTTAAAAAGTTAATTTGTATTGAATAATTATCTACCATTAAAGCAAATTTGAACTAGTATTCTTGATGGGCATATTCTGTGTATGTAAATAGGTACTTCCTCCAGATTTTGGGTTCAACCGATTTATTCTCAAAACCTGAAACATCTACGTATAAAAGGTAGCAGTAGACAGGTCACTAATTATAATAAAATTTGCCCTTAGAATTACTTCTATTGCAAGCAATTTCCATTGGTATACTTTTCCATGACAAATGATCAACTTCCTAAAATTTTCAATTGATGTAATACTTCCTCATGATGCGAAAAGAAAATCTTTTCGTTAGCACACAATGGACAAATGATATGTTGGCTTGCTTTCAGATTAGTTACTTTTCCATAGATATCCTCATGTCAATTCAAAGACGATGAACATGAAAAAGATAACCATAAACATCGCACACTTGTTTTCAAAATCCATGTTAATAGATAATTAATTTTTTGGATTTTTATCTTTTATTTTTAAATATGTTTCTCGAACTGCTGATTTTAGTAATTATTAAATTAAAGAAACTAAAAAGTCAAAAATAATAAACAATTACGAACATCATCGATACCGCACGATCTACGACGATTACTTCTTTGATCTGATTAGACGGTTGGTTGCGTATTTTAATGTATCCTGTCAAAATTGACGTTTTAAAAAATTTTGATGTAGAGAATCGGCATCCTCGCGAAAAATTACATTAGGAAATCTTTCTACTATCTTTAAATACGAAACAGGAAAATTATAAATCGAGTGAGACACTTAAAATGATGTCCCTGTACGTAAAGGCACGTGAAGATACGTATCACGTATCCGTAAACGCAAGTGAATTTCTCACTGCGCAAGCGTACATGTCAAACGATACGTTTACGTCTACGTCTTTGGCCGTGCTTTAACTGTCTATTAAACTTTAGAGGTTTCTACGTTCCATACGAGTCAGCTCGCATACCCAACAATGTTGCCGTTTGCTGTCGCCTTATTTTATGAACGGTTTTAAGAACGGCGGAAAGTAACGTTTAGCACTGCATCTGGGATTATGTCCTATTCGAATCATGTGTTACATATTTAGCTACGAGTGATGGACTGACTCGATAGGAATAGTAAGGATCGCAGTAAAGGAGGGGGGATATTTTTTATCTTATTGGAGTTTCACTAACTGGTCAGCCATACTCGAAGTGGAAAAGGGGAAAGCGTTGTTCATCTCTGTGTAACCTTAAACTTTTTATAGGCGTTTCATTCCATTGCATGCAAACATTTTTTAATAGTGTATGTTCTACATACACATGTATTTATGTTGACAAAATTTTCTTATATGTTTTTTTTATAAACTTTTAAGTTTGTTAGAAAACCCTAGATTACCTTGGATATAGGTAAGTAAGTTATAATCATAATTTTATTTTAGAGGAGTCCACCAAGACACCAAGAACAGATAGCAAGACGAAGTCACAGTCCAGAAGAAACGCAATACGTTGAAAGGAGAAGTAATAGTTACGATAGAGGATCACCTAGACAACGGTTATCCCAATATTACGAGGTACGAATTAATTTATGAACCACATCGTGCACATTTATTAAGTTTTTTCTTTTAATATGAACTTCTGGTGCAAATTAATGTCAATATTTATTAACATCAAATTGCGTTTATAATTGATTAATTTTTAAACAATATTATTTTAAGCATTTGCTTAAACATTAGACCTACAAAACAATATAAATATAATGCATAATTAATATAATAAATAGAAATCATCATCCATTACTAACTCATTCGAAGAACGTCAATCGTGTGACAGCACATGCACCTATAAGGAGTCCAAAATAGTCACTAGCCAGTCGGCCAGTTGTATCAAGGTAGGAAAGTTACGTTCATTGGTGACGCCTGCATGTATTGTCTTTAATGAATATGGGGGTAATTTGAAAATTCTCTAACCTAAAGAAGCAATTCACTGTTATAGCAATGCCCACCGCTTTTTATACAACGTGGCGGTGGGGTATCTATACAGTTACGGGCCTGTGTTCCGTGAATCACCGGGCCCAGAGTGCGGAAGAACATGTGCCATCTCTCGTGGGGAGATTCTTCACGTAAAAATAAGATTTATTTTTTATATCAACATAGGTCCCCTTTATCTCGTAGCTGCAGAGGGTTACTCTTCAATTTTTTCATTTATAATTTTTTTAAATTCGACATATTCTAAAGATAAAAAGCGTCGGCGTATTAACCAGGGACTGGAATATTTCGGTAGAAAAAGCATGTGGCGACACTGACTTTCTCAAAGGTTAGCAAAATTGTAGAGAACGTTTAATGCCGATTAAAAGTCGTTCTTGATATTTTATCGATTTCGGTCTCATCGATGAGATAAACACGTGTTAATTTTTAGATAAATATTCCAGTGATACAGATATGCATCTTCCTGGTAAATATGTTGGAACTTTTTTTTTGGATTAAAATATGTAGCACTTATAGTAACTTTTCCCCTCAAAACTCAAAATTCGAATTAATAAAAGCACTTGGAAGAAAATTATAATAAATAAAAAAATGAAGATTTTAACTCCCTATAGCTACGAAACAAAGCAGAATCGGACCTATGTTGGTATCAAAAATAAATCTTATTTTTATGTGAGGAACCTCGAGAGAAGGCACATATTTTTTGAGACACTCTGTAAATGTTTTTTATATTTCAAAATATGTAACAAAAAAACATCGCATAGATAAACTAAAGGAATTCATTTGGTAAATTTAAATATCGATTTAAATTTTATTTATTTTTACAAAAATAATTTATAATAAATGCAATAAGTTAAAAAGTTGTCTTTATTGACTAGGCACATGAAACATGAAAATATCCGAACTAGAAAAAAAAATTACAAAATGTACTTAAAATTTTGGTTAATTTTTTATATAGTGTTCAAATAATACTTAATTATTTAGTAAAATTATATAAGAATTCTTGCCACTTAACTGCTGATATAGAAATTTAATTCTATGCTGTGTTTGTCATAATGTGGATCAACCTGCTCTCACTACCGGTTTCGGAGCCCTACTCCATCATCAGGTGAGCTTGGGCAGATCCACAAAATGACAACCGCAGCGCAGAGATAGTTAATTCCGACTTGTCGGAAAGTGTCGGTTAGATATTAAGTCCCGAACGGGAGATAGCGGCCTGCGTGCAATGGTAGTACTTTCGTACCACCGAGGCTCAACTATCGATAGTAAAAGGATGGTAAAAGGCTTTTTTTCAGGCAAGCCAAATTATAAAATAGAAAACAAATTTCTTGCAGTATAGGTATATAATAAAATTATATAAGGATTCTTGCCACTTAACTGCTGATTTAGAAATTTAATTCTACGCTGTGTTTGTCATAATGTGGACAGAGATATTTAGCTTTTACCATCCTCTTACTACCGATAGTTGCGCCTCGGTGCTACGAAAGTACTACCATTGCACGCAGGCCGCTATCTCCCGTTCGGGACTTAATATCTAACCGACACTTTCCGACAAGTCGGAATTAACTATCTCTGCGCTGTGGTTGTCATTTTGTGGATCTGCCCAAGCTCACCTGATGATGGAGTAGGGCTCCGAAACCGGTAGTGAGAGCAGGTTGATCCACATTATGACAAACACAGCGTAGAATTAAATTTCTATATCAGCAGTTAAGTGGCAAGAATCCTTATAAGAACCTATACTGCCAGAAATTTGTTTTCTATTTAATTATTTAGGACAGCATACCACTTAGAGCAGAAATAACCCGTAATTTACGCTTAAGCCGTTGAAATCTCAACGAAAAGTTTGCTATGTTTTATTGTTTTTAATAAATAAATCACTGATAAGTCTTTGTATATGAGATGGCTTATTGGCTAATTCATCAATTATACTATTTTAGAGAGGACAAAATTGCATCTTTCTAGTTAGGATGCATAATTAATATTTTTAAAAATAAGCCAAAGAATATTTATTTTTATATAAAAAGTATATCAGTTTTTACTCATCACCGAAGTCTCTTTTTTCACAATTAAATTATACGTTTCTTAAACATTTTTACTTACAGGTTCGGTTAATTTAAATATGTATATCGCCACTAGATAATTATTTTAAAATGCAAATTCTACAATCAGTTCTGGTTGCTCCTACTTCACAAACAACCACTATTGGATAAAAACTGCCCAAAAATATTATATGTATTTTCAATCACGACATGAAATCAAATTGACATTAAATTAAATTTTGAGACATTACTACTTGGCACTATGTTGAAATATTATTTGAACATAGTGCCAAGTAGTTAATTAAATTTAAAACATCAACTGACAACAAATTGTTCCTAAAGCCGTTAATAAGAAATATACAGGGTGGTCCGAACTGTATTCCGGAAACTTCGGCAACATATTCTGCAGATAAAAATAAGTAAAAAAGTTCGTGTAAATGTATGTCCTAAAATGCTTAGTTTCAGAGATACAGGGTGTAGAAGTTTCATTTTTATTTCGATTTTTTCCAAATAATTTCTGAAGTAACGTCAATCTTTGGATGAAAATTGGTGTCTATGAGTTTTTTGACAAGAGAAATTTGATTTTGATGTTAATATGACTCCTACTGATAGAGGGCGCCACCTACATATGTTTTAGCTGTTTTGAAGCGCAATAACTTTTTGTCCGTACCTGTATAAAACTAACGAAGGAAAAAATACACATCTCTGTGACTTTTTACGTAAAAAATACCTCTTTCTAAAAATCGCTACGAACAACCGTTCTCAAGATATTTAGAATGGAAATAGTCAATACATGTCATTATTGACGAAAAATAAACACGTTGAGTAGATAGTTATTTCACTGAAATAATAAATTTGGGAAATATTTATTGTTTTAAATTAATCATAAATTTTTCTGCAAAAAAATGATAATAAAACAGTTTCTGTTGTACAGCTGGTTCCAATAAAATTGAATACAATTTAAAACATAATTTTATTATTTCGGGCAGTATATTCTATGATACCAGTCCTCCATTTCTCTACTTATGTCATACTGACGTTCTGAAAAATTTATTTGCCACTTTGTCAAAAGCAAACTTGTTTTATACAATGTCACAATAACCTTAACATGTCAGAATACTTAACACATAAATATACACTGCCCAAATATTCGAAAAAAAATGTGTCGAGAAGAGTCGTATTCATTTTTTTTGGAACCAGCTGTACTTTTGGCACAAAAACTTTCAAAATTATGATCTCAGTCTAGTAACTATTAAGTCATCATATTTAATTTATGTCAAATGATGACAGGTATTAATAATTTCGATTCCAAATATCTCAAAAACCAATACTCGTAGCGATTTTTACCAAGAGACATTTCTTACGTAAAAATCATCGGAAATGTATATTTTTTTACTCAGTAGTTTTATACAGGTACGGACGAAAAGTTATTACTCTTCAAACCAGTTAAAATATATGTAGGTGGCGCCCTCTACAAATAGGAGTCATATTGACTTCAAAATCAAATTTCTCATGTCACAAAACACCCAGATACCAATTTTCATCCAAATAATGACGTTACTGCAAAAATTATTTGTAAATAATCGAAATAAAAATGAAACTTCTACACCCTGTATCTCCGAAACTAAGCATTTTAGGACATACATTTATACAAACTTTTTTACTTATTTTTATCTACAGAATATGCTGCCGAAGTTTCCGGAATACAGTTCGGACCACCCTGTATACTTGATAACTTTATCTGTGACATTGTATATATTGAACTAGAAAAATTTTCAATACACCCTCATTTCACAAGTGAGCATGTTTAAGATAAGAAAATATTATATTTAAGATATATGCATGAAACTCTCTTTTAATTTGAATTTAGAGATATTTAGATACGTAGATAAAAATAATACTAAGTGACATTAAAAAAATGCAACATCTATGGAGAGCACATTAATTTTCACCATAGTCTGACATGTTGGCCTACTACGAAGTAGTTAGTGAGTAGCATTTAAACCCGAAACTGACGTATTCTATTCTAAAGTTGTGATTTTGCTGGTGCGACTAAACGACTCGGCTGGCGACTGCGGCGAACGACTGCTCAACAATGCAGTCTGTGTATTAAGCCTCGGTTTTTTACATAGCATAGGTTAGCTAAAGAGCGGCCGTTTTTGCCGACAAGTAGTACGGCCGCTTTGACCGTCAATATTATTGTAAAGTAACATTAAATATGGTGGCGTTAAAATATCGCCGCTTTTTGCTGTGAGTCAATTCAACTCAAATATTGTCCACCGTCAAAAATCGTGCTTGCAATATACCATCATAGTAGAAGAAAAGAGTAGTTGCACTCTCCCAAATATTTTCTGCCAGATTTTACAATCTGTCGAATATCGGCAGATTGCAGAGCGTTTCAGTTGAGTTCCGTCCGTCGACCTGCAAGGTTCGAGCGTTGCGTCCCAGCACAGAGACGGATTGACAAAAAATAAGTGCCTTACTGTGTGCTGCTATTGGTTGTAGTAATAATTAAAAAAATTGTGCTTTGAGTTTTTTTTTGAGAGTCAT